CTCCACGCCCCGCCCCGGCGACTTCCGCGCGGCCCGGGCCGCTTCCGGCCCGCGGCTTCCCGTGACGTCATTCCTCCTGGCCCGCCGCGGCCTCGCAGTCGGAAGCGCGTGCACTGACGGCGGGGCGCAGGAGGGTGACGTCACAGGCCGTGCTGCGGCTGAGCGGCCCTGCCTGGGGACTTGCGATCCTAGGCGTGACTCAAGTCCCCGCCACTTCCGTCCACGTGCTCTTTCCCGTGACACTTTCACGTTAGACTCCAGGGTCGTCCGCGTCCCTCCGCTGCGTTTCTGGGGCGTCCGCTCAGCACACTGGGACCCACGCCAGCCTGTCGAGACTGTGTACTGGGGACACAGCCCCGCCTACGCCTTCTACGGCGGCCGGGGCGAGGGGGATTCTTGGGAGCACCCAGAGACGGGCTCTGATCTGCCTGTGGGGCTCAAGGGAGAAGGCGTGAGCTGAGACTGAAACGGCAGTGCGGGGGCACCAAGGGCCTGACAGTGCGATCTCAGAGCCGCTGGGTTGTGTGTGCCTGAGGAGTGCCATAGTTGACAGTGAAAGGTGGGATAGATATGGAAGGCCATCTGCAATGCAGAGGAGTGACTGCTCTCCGCAGAATCTGGAGCCGTCACGTGATCAGACTCACATTTTGGAAAGATCACAGTGGGGACAGTGTAGAAGATGGTTTGGATGAGGTAGATTCGGGATCCAAAGATCAGTTAACAAGTTCTTGCTATCCCCACACTTACCAGCCATGTTAAAATGGCTAAGTGAATTGACCTTGCTAAGCTTTAGTTTATCAATAAAATGACAATAATTTCTATGGAGCTTTTCTGTTGTGAGCATTGAGGTGTAATAAGAAGCAATATTGGGATAGTGTTAGAAAGTGAAGGCTCCAGTCACACTGTCTGGATTTGAATTTGTGTGACCTTGACCAGTTATTTAATTTCCCCAAGCTGAAGTTTCCTCGTCCTTAAATGTAGCTATTAATAAATAATAAACCTGACAAAGAACTCGTGTCCAGAATATATAAAGAACACTTAAAACTCAATAATTACATAGATAACCCAATATAAAAAATGGGCAAAACATTTTAACAACAACAAAAAATTTTAACAGTTTAACATACACACACGTATGCGTGCACACACACACAAAACCTTGTAGGATTGTTGGGCAATAGTACTTGAAGAACGTTTAGCATAATGCCGAAGTGATGGTGAGTGCTCATGAGTGCTCAATGTGTGCTCCGGGGTGAGTCCAGAAGAGGGTAGTAGTGGATATCAGGTTTTGGAGCCATAAGCAGATGAAGTGGATTTTGATGTCAGGCTCCTAGGAGAAGGAGAATCCAGGAGAAGACAACAAATTTCAGGCCTTGAACATTTTCATCCTTGGTGAGGATTTGGACATTTCAAACCCCTAGGGAAGGAATGCAGTGTCAGGCATCACTTCGACTTTAGTGAAAGATGTCCACCCAACTGCTTCTCTAATTCATTCTAACCAAATAACTTTCTGATTTCTCCTCTAATACAACATCCCTGCATAGGGGACCCCAACATTGAGTTCATGTAAAGAACTCTCTATCCCTCTGTTCATTTCTTATCAGTTTGGTTTTTTTTTTTTTTTTTTTTTGTCTTTTGTCTTTTTTTTTTCCGG